CACACACACACACACACACACACACACACACACACACACACACACACACACACACACACACACACCAACACTGATTCACGGTGATAAAGCGGCCGGGCGAGAGGGAGGGAACAGCGAATATTTATGTGATCTACCACTGCTGTGTGCGTGCGTGTGTATAAGAGTGTGTGAGCGCAATAAGAATTAGTGGCGATCAATAATTCTTTGACACCAGCATTCGACCTCACTGATGACTCTATATATCTCTCTCCCTTTCTCTCTCTCTCTCTCTCACACACACACACACACACGCACACGCACTTCCTGTGGGAATCGCTACAAACTATCACTAATTATTCCCTCATCTGCACACATGTGCTGTGAGGACACGCGCTGAAACACTGTGTGTGTGTGTGATGGGAAGAGAGTGAATTAGCAGCCATAATCTTCCTCAATTACACGCTAATTGGACCTGTGGAGGCTAACGGCAAGTGACAGCGGCGTGTGTGTGTGTGTGTGTGTTACAAAGTATGTGAATGTTTGTGAGGGCAAATCTCTCTCTCCCTCTCTGTGTGTGTGTCAGCAGGTGGTTTCACACTCTTGCCTCATTCTTTCCGCTCTCTTTGATGTCGACCTGACAAACTCTCAGCCTGGCACCAAGTTTACTCTGTGAGATGAACAGCAAAGCACCCTGGGTAGTTTTCTCCACCTTTCTCTGCAGCAGGATAACCTGTCAGAGCCCAGAGCAAACTGGCCACTAACTTCAAAGTGATTTCAAAACCAATCAAAGCTGATTTCATTGCACTCGATGCAACGTATGCAAGGATATCATACCCCGCATATGTAGGCGTCGTCACTTTTAAGAAGTCCAGTTTTGAAGCCTTAATTTCAACTTCATGTCCATCGTCATGTTGGCGGTTGTGGAGCTAGAAGCGACCATATTTGGATGAGATGATGTAATTGAGTTATCAGTTAACTGTGCTAATTAGTGAGTGTCACTGACCAAAACTGAAGCACAGACTTCTTCGATGGTCAACTCTTAGCAGGTAGGGTGACCACATGTCCCTCATTACGCAGAATTTATGGTTCGAGTCTAAGGATGGCCCTTCTACCTGCAGTGGCGCCAGTGTACAAATAAGTGGTACAACTGGTCTGTGGGCCATTCTTGCTTGTTTTGTTGTTGGTCCGTTAGCCAGCCAAAGAGAAGAGTGAAGTTATAAAATACAAAGAGAGATCATGGCAGCGGTGGAAACTTTTCATAGTTTTTTACACTCGGTTTCACTTCAAACATTTTTCTATTCACGGAGTGAGCAGAGAAGGGTTTTCAACCGCAGACGTGCTCCCATCCTGGCCTCCAGAATCCTAACTACAGATTGCTACCATATGACATTTGCATCTGCCAAATGCTAATTGGTTGACAAGTAGGTCAGAATAGGACAGGAGCAACAGGAGTTCACCAGGAATGGGAGAACTGTGAAAAAAACCCATCGAAGATTAAAAAAGAAAAAACAAACAAAAAAACCCCCCCAGCAATGTAACAATTATGCAGATTGAAAAATTATGCTTCAAGTGAGACTGCACAACATCTTAAACATCTTACAAAAACCTCCCACATTTTGACTGGTTCTGCACTTTTCTACGCCTTCTTTTACCCAGAGCATATGAAGGGAAAGCATTTTATTATAGTCACATGAAACTTAGCCAGTTTAATACTGAGCTCATATTTTGTTGAATATGATGGAAACCACCATAAAGGAAATGAAGTGGTAGTATATTCTGAGAAGTAACATTTTTGTCTTTCAGGTTTTTTTCTTAAACATATTTTTCAGTTTCACACTGAAGAAGAGTACATGTGTCATAGTTGGTTAAAAATAGCGAAATTGTCACATATGGCTCTGTCAATCTACAATGTATCGCTACTGAAAACCACAGACCACTGACCATACAGAATTGCAGCTGTACAGGGGTGTATAAAGACTATTTCATGGACCATAAAAGAAACTTATTATCTTACTATCTTATTAAAAGATCGAAAGCAACAGGAAAAGTTGCATTGAAATATATTAGTCTATTACGACTATATTAATCATCAGATAATTGCAATAATATCCTCCAAAAGGCTCAAAGAGATCAAACAGTCCAAATGTAGCGGAGCTGAACCTGTGTCGCCAACCATCTCTCAAAGAGGCCACACCCCCAAAAATGCTGGGGACTGTTTCATTAATGGGGTCACCTTTTAATTTATATTAAAGAACTTGTTTTTACATGTTTTCCCTTTACAGATGAATACTTTACTTTGTGACTGGTGGCTCTTCTTTCAACAAACCCTTTTTTTTAAGATTATCTCAGTATTAAACTAAACCAGTGATAGTTTGTGTATCCACACAGTCAAAGAGATCTGCTGTTTTTCAAAGTTAATTTATATCCCAAACCCCAAATTATAATGAAATTAAACTTTATCACAAGGTGACAAGACAGGAAATCTATATTGACTCTATGAAGTTCTGCTGGCAGCTTTTCAGAGGAAGGCAGAGTATAGTCGCAGCAGACCGACTTTGATCTACAGCCTGCATCACTGCGGATGTGTTTACCCACACAAACGGTTCAAGAAACACAGCAGAAACTGCGAGCCAGCGTTGATGCTGATGTGATCCAATATTTACAATTTAACTGAAAAAAAGTGAAAGGTAAAAGACTAAGATTCAGGAAAGAAATAGTAGAAACAGACATTTAGGTGTGTATTTATTTTGTCATTTCGATTTTACTGTCAGTTTTCCTATGTCTCACGCCACATTTTGTCTCTTATTCTTAGCGGCCTCCCTCTGTCCCAGCCAGTGAGGCATTTCGTTGGTTCTTCTAGCCTTCCCTCCACCAACAGAACCAAAATCTGGAGGCCTAGCAGGAAGTCACCATCACACGGACTGCAAAATCAGCAAAAGGACTACAACCTCTGGAACTGAAATTGATTCTCTGCGACAGGATTACAATTTCATACTGTATGGATGACAGTTTGAGACTATTCCCACCTCAGCTGGAACAGGGAGTAGCTAGACAGAAGGAGAGGAAGAGGGGGCAGTTTGGTCACAGGCAACCGGACTTGGCCAATTGATGTGGTGATGCCATAATTGCATGTTTTTCCCAAGATTGTGTAAAGGTAAATTTATAAATCAATTCTTAAAAAGGCGCACACAGAATGTCCAGACCGTAGCAAGCTAACTGGCTAGAACAGATACTAGTCTGTATTTGTACTGGCTAAACAAACTTGTTCCAGACCTCTAAATTGTCTATCACTTCTCCTGTTTGCTTTTCTTAACAAACAGTTCAGGCCTTGACTATTGAAAGGATAGGCCGCTAAGTAGCCACATAAAAATAATCTATAAATTCTGTAACTCTAATCTATTACATAAAAAATTCGAAAAGCTCAGGTTGTTCCATTGCAAGCTTGACTGGATGAATATCGAAACATTAACGGTTCTCTTATGGCTTACTCATAGAGTTGCAATCAATTCAAAGACTAGTGCTGGAACAAAGCTGCCACTATGTCTATGTCTGTAGCTAGGCTGTTCTTAAAATTACATGAAATTGTATCAAAACGACATCTTTGAGGGTATATGAAATCTGACATCTACTGGTGAAAATGCAAGAGTATTGCCCTGTATCTCTACTTTTAGCAGTTATTTGTGTCAAGATCTAATCCACTTTTTATGGACTGATTTTTAGACTTTCTTTCATTGGGTCTCAGCCTTATAGGTAGGGTAAGGATCTCGGATGCTGCTCTTTTGCATCAAAAGCAGCCAGCTGTGGTGGTTTGAGCATCTAATTAGAGATTCCCTCTGAGTACTGTCCTTTGGAAGGTTCCAGTACAATCCAAGCTCGAAGGAGCCATGCAGATTGTAGATCCCATTTCAGCCAAGAGAAAACTGGGAACTCCCACGGGTAACTGAAAAATGTTGCAGACATTGGGAGAATAATACCCTGCATAGTTTGCTATCAATGCAACCTGACCCCGAAAAACAGAAAATAGAGGCATGGCATCAAAGATCAATAAGCCAACAGCAGAGAGAGTGTTCTGTACCTGCTTTCAACAGTAAATGTTAGATTTGGGAAATTGGGCTTCTTTGTAAGCTTGACCAGATGTTTTGGCCAGATGTTCCGGTCACGTGATTGCTCTGGCAAAAGCGGGTGGTGTTATCAATAAGGTAGATTATCCATTTCAGATCCCAGTATGGACCTCAACATGAAGTTTACCTTAGCCTGGTGTACCTCATGTAGCCTTGATTTAAAAATGTCTGAAAATAAAAGAAGAAAAAGGAAGGAAAAAGGCAATCAAAGCAGTGTTTTTGTAAGTTCCAGAACAGTCTTGACAATCTCATTCACATAAACATGTATTAATTACATAGAAATCATTTTAAGTGCCAACATTGTGACCGTTTTATCCATTTCCTCTCATGTGTTATGTAGCTTTTCTGTAAAGGTCCATCAAGTCACAAAGCCCAAAGTCCACACCAAAGGAAGGTAGTCTCTCCCAGAAGAAGAAAAGCCCAGTTTGTAGCATAGGATTTCCTGTTGTTACTTATAAACATCATTCTGAAATAACAATATATGCCAGTTTGGTCCTGTTAAACTAATGACAATGGATTACTCTCACTGTAATCCCCTTGACACTAGGAAAATCATGTAGCTAACATTACCTCACCTCTGACTGGCCACCCACAGGAAAGAGCTTTCTGGAAATAATCTTCAGTAAATATAAGAAATTATACAAACTTTAGTACCAAATGTAAACCAGTAAACAGATTTCATGAAATTCATCAATCTTGCTGACAAACATATTTTGCTAAGAGAAAAGTATTATGTTAATAGTAACATTATTGCAAGGACGCTTTGTGTACTGTGCAATGTAGCAACTTTTTTTTTCTTTTTCCATAACACTTATATTACCAGGAAGTAAAACAATTGAGATGAAACATCTCTTTCTGGCTTCCTGGATTTTGTGAGAGTGTCCTTATCCTAAACAGGGAGCATAAGTCTAGCCTGGTTTTCAGTTATGGCAATTATGACAAAACCATAGTTCTCAGAGAAAAGCTGTTCAAACATGGGGAGAACATGCAACAGGGCTTACCACTGAAGCATCGTGCTGACGTGCTTTTATAGAAGACTGTTCTTGTTCTGGGTCAAGGTCCAAACTCCTTAATCTGGATTTCTTTTATGAATAACATATCTTTAACGTATGTAAGCGGTGTTCACATAAACATCCAAGACATTACCAGTGAAAAGCTGATTGTCTGAAAGCTCGAAGTAAATAGAAAAAATAACTATACCTGATTAAATTGGCTACTCTTCCTTTCAGGGTGTTCAAATTCATGTGCAGCCCAACATGGCTTAGGTTGCATAGTGGAAGTCATCCTCTAACCCCTCAGGACCCTGCCTCGGGATGTTGGAGCAGAACTCTGCATTGGCAGCCTGACACCTGAGAGTGAACTCAGGGTGCACAACACACAGTTTGCCATAATATCAACTAGCATGGTAGTAGAACTCCTGATCTGACCTTTGAGCTTCAATTCTTCCACATTCTGCTCTCTCACAGTTGCACTTTTTGATTTTAGTACATAAAGTATAATTTTGGTCAGCTGTAGTCTTGCTGTCTTGAGATGTCCGATAATGTGAACAGAAGCCGTATATATGGTATATAGTTTGTGATCATGGCACAGATTATGTATGTTTGTGTACAGCCTTCACAATCTGTGATAAAACTGTCACCTGCTTCCTCTTCTTCCTCCTCCTAGCAAACCACAAACCCCATTGTAGCCAAACCAGGAAGATTCAGGACTTAACCACAGAAACAATTACAGTCTGACCAAAACCGGATGACACGTTAACCTCAAAGGGAAAAAAAATCACCACAGAGAGGATACAAACTGACCTCAGCAGGACGTGATTCAGGACTGTTATTAAGGACTACAACTTCACCACAGTAGGACTACCACATCACTGTTATCTGTCTCTTCTGTCTACCTCCTCCTCAAGAACATTAAAGGCACCTTGATTGATTCTTATTGGGCTCTGTTCATGTTGGTACGGCATGATCTGCTTCTTAACTCTCTAGATGGTCCGGAGCTGATCTGCCTCTTGTGGAATCTGGTGTTTAGATTTTGTATTTGCAAGTGTACTCTGCTGTCTAAATGAGTCGTGAAATGTCTGAATTTATTTTATTTGTCTAGATTTAATGGAAAGTTCTCAGGGTGCAGTCACACTTCTGGTTTATATGAACTACAGTAGACTGAACACAAAACTCACTTTGTTGCATTTTTTTTTTACATTTGATTAAAAGGTGGCAGTTGAAGGTTTGAAATTCCTGTCTTCACTAAAAGCTTAAAATGGCAAGATGCATTTTTAGAGAAGTATGGATCAGAAAATCTGCTCTCAAGTTACACCTCCAGTCCTGAATATTCAGATCTCTAAAGTTCATATCTATGAGACCCCTGCCAGGACCTCCAAGAGAGTTCAGAACCAGTTTCTCTGTACTTGTATCTGGGCATATTGTACCACACATGGTGACCAGTAGGATCCAGAACAGAAGAACTCACCTGCAGTTTATTTGTGGCACAGAGACTCACCCTTGGATCATCTGGAGAGCTCTGAGGTTCTGAGTATAACTCTGGGACTAAAAGGAACTGAACTGAACTAAAAGATCAAATCAGAACATTCCACACACACAGAAAAAAATAATGTTATTTCCAACACGTCTGTAGGCCATTGATGAGGCCCTATGAGACTTTGTGCACAAAAACCTTTATTACTGTTAACAATAATTTGTCTTATAAAATGATTGGACGGCAGAATCCACAGCCTTCTTAAAGTCTTATTTTGAAATATTATCTTCACGAATGTTGAGCAATCTGCCATCAGCAGACCTTTGATATGCTATATGGATGAAAGTACTGGGCCAACCACACATTAGGAGCTGCTTGACCATGGAAACCCATGCCATGAAGCTTCTGGTGACGTATTTTGCTGATGCTAGAGGCCTACTCTTTGTAATGTTTAAAATGTTTGTAGAGGGACGCTGCATGGCTAAGTGCTTGATTTTATACACCTGTGGCAATGGAACTGAAAAAAAACCTGAATTTACTGATTAGGAAGTGTGGCCCAGCACTTTTGTCCATATGGTGTATCTGGAAACAGTCAAGAATGTTAGCCATTTCACATGTTTTCTGGGTTGGATCACATAACATTTAGAAGATTTTCATTATAACACACTCTTGTTACTTTATCACTTATCCACTCAGTAGATAAGTGATTTGTAACTAAGAAAGGAGAACATTAACTCCTGAAATACATAAATGTGATTCCAGCCAGACATTATAAAAAGGTGGATGTAGATACTGTAATGCCATCCACTGGTTTTTGAAATCCTGGGAAAATTATTTCTAAATCCCCAGTCACGCTTGTCTACAAATGGTTCAGTGACCTGATGGCAACCTTATGGTTAGCAAAAACTTCCTTGTGATTGCTTTGGTCACTGGCAGATTGCAGTGGTCATAATTTGGATGAATGTGACAGACTTGTCTACAAACAGTAGTCAGTTACCGTCCAAGCTACAGTTAAACTGAAAAGAAGAATGCAAACTGGAACTGGATACTATTTGCCTTCATGAAACCGAACTTTTACTATAGAGGCAAACATTCTCCCTTTCTGGTTTGCTTCAATCTTTTTCAAGTTTTACTACCCTAGCAGCCTAGCAGTTAGCAAGTATTTGCAAACAAACATGAAAAACTTTAGTCAACTGTGGAATTTGGTAGCAACCAAATTTAACATCAGGAGGTTTTTGGTAGTGGACCTTTTTTTTTGCAACAGATTACACCCAGTTTGCAGCAGAAACATTGAGGAACCACTACCAACTAGTTGGGAAAAACAAATTTCCTTAGCTACCAATACAGCAAAATTGGTTGTATCACATCCAACACTGCAGACAACTCTCGAGCAAAGTGTGCATAACATCACATAAGAAACGTCAACGGGACCGTAAGTCTTTCTGCAACCCTAGCTACCACCATCTAGTGGCTTTCAGATAAATTGCAGTGTTTAGGTACTTGGGCATTGACTTCATTTTTCCAACCTGAAAATACATCCGTGTTTTATACTATGGTCCTGTGTAGCTGATCAGTACTTCGACAAAGTGGTCTTTAGGTGAAACACAAATACTGAACTATATTTTCTAACACTATATTTGTTGAATTTTGACCAGAAAGAAGAAATAACACAAGACAAAAAATAGTAACCACAACCTGATCCTTTTGTTCCACAGACAGCAAGCCCAAAAATTCAGATTTAATAAAGAAAATCTTTATTAATTTTTAATTATTTCAAAGAGCACATATTTGTGTTAATTTGTTGCAAATAATCTGACATCATCAGCATATAGCCATGTAGCTTTATGCTCAATGCATCCTCCTATTATTCCATAAAGATATGAGTGTGATGCCATCATGATTGCTTGCTCTGACATGTTGACAAATCTGTACCTGACAAATATGGCGACAGCTTCTTGTAATAGAAACTGGCAGTAAAATATTTTAAATGTTTTATTTGGACGTTCACGTCCATAACAGACTGCACCACTAGTAGGTCAGAATTTCAACTTCAAAGAAAATGTCTTGATAATTACTGGATGATTTGGTGTTAAATTTGTACAAAGATTCAGGTTTCCCGCTGAATGATTCCTATTAGTTTGTTTGTGGCTGGTTTCAGTTACTACCATCAGTGTGTTGAAGTTTCTGCACCTGCCGACGTGATGGAAATACAGATTACTTTTATTTTGACGTAAGCCTAATTTATTTTTGGAGGAAAATGTTCCATTGCCTCATTGTCGGAATCAAACATCCCCTTTTTCTCAGGTTGGCTGAGGTGTCGAAGGTGTTGAGGGGGGGTTTGAGAGAGGAAGGGGGCGTTTGTTTTGTATGTGTGTCCTCCTCCTCATGTATTCTGTCTCTGTGACCTCCTCATGTGCTGAATTATAATAAAGCATTTCAAAGATTAGCTGCGAGTGTGTGACAGACACGCAGTGGATGTCAGGTGATTGCATCATACAGTATTGTTTGTAATGATGTGTGTGAGAGGGAGAGTGAGAGAGCTGGAGGGGAGGGGGGAGAGTGAGAGCAGGCAGGCATGAAAATGAACAATATGTTTTCTTGTGTTTGTGTGAAATTCTCTGCCACAAGATGGAAGCTGAGTGTGTGTCTAAGAGTGTCTATGTGTGCGCGTGGGCTTCTCATCTCAGTAATGGTGTTGCTATCAGAAAAAGAGAGAAAGACTGAAAGGCTGGTTGTCCCTGACGACAGTGTTCCGTGTTGCCTAGCAACAGCGCTAACAATGGCCCACCACCAGTGTTCTAGAATGTGGGCGTGGCCTGACAGATAGAGAGGGGTTGAGTGATAGAGGAGGGCACTTTTCTCTCAGCAGAGTTTTCACCCCATTAATCTCGTGATAAACAGCTGTGACATGAATGATTGATGTTTATTACAGTCTGTTGCAAATCTGCGAATAAAGCAGCTTTCCTTAAATCTGTCAGAAATCTAAACAAACAAACAAACAGCATGCAAAAGGAACGGCATAACACAAAAAGAGATGACAAATCTAAAGGCACATCTACAGCTTTAAGAACCACTTCGTGCTTATGCAAAAAACAAAAAACGAAGTCTTTAAAACTCTGACGTGAATAAAATTCTGCACAGGGTTGAGGTGCAAAAGACATGGTATGCTGAAAATGACCAAATCCAAACAAAAATCATAATAATAACTGCACTATTGTACAAAAAGTCTTGATCCACTCTTCGCTTCTTTATTTGCTGATAGGAAATTAGGAATTACAGCAGGTTAAAAAAGTATTGAAGAAAATATATTTCTAAAGTTGCTATTGACATGAAATTCTCACCAAAGTCAGCTACAACCCATCCCATCTGCACACAGAAAGAAGTAGAACATAGATGCCCATAAATTATGTGTAATAATGAGGTAATAATGACGCTCACCACACAAGACTCCAAAGAAATCTCCCTGTTGGAGCTCAGTCTGGGGGGAGTTATTTGTATCTCCTTATCTTTCCTCATGTGGTACATTTTTATGTCTGTGAAGGTTCTCAGTCATCCAGGTCATCGTAGTCAAAGGAGCTTGCAAAGAAAAGCGTCTGGACTTCTTTAAGTTGCTTGAAGACGTTTCACCTCTCATCCGAGAAGCTTCTTCAGTTCTAAGGTCAAATGGTGGGAGTCCCAGATATAAACCTAGTGGGAGTTTCCCCCCACAGAGGGACAAAAGGACCCCCTGATGATCCTCTAATCAGCCTGAGCCAAGGTGTGAAACTGGGTGTGGGTCCCAATCAGCCAGAGTTTCGGGTGTTCATTGTGAAACCTGGCCCCACCTTATCATGCGAATTCCTGAGGTCAGATGGCCCAGGATGTGAGTGGGCGTTAAGGCGTCTGGGAAGGGATCTCAAAACTGGATTATAGATGGCAGAGAGTTGGTGTCGTAAACCCCCGCCTCTGTTCAAAGATGGTCGCTCACAGTGGACATAGATGGCTTCTTTCACTCCTCTTTCAAACCATCTGTCCTCTCTGTCCAAAATGTGAACATTGGCATCCTCGAAAGAGTGTCCTTTATCCTTAAGATGCAGATGGACTGCTGAGTCTTGTCCTGTGGAGGTGGCTCTTCTGTGTTGTGCCATGCGCTTGTGAAGTGGCTGTTTGGTCTCTCCGATGTAGAGGTCTGGGCATTCCTCGCTGCACTGTACAGCATACACCACGTTGTTAAGTTTGTGTTTTGGCGTTTTGTCTTTCGGGTGAACCAGTTTCTGTCTGAGTGTGTTGCTGGGTCTGAAATACACCGGGATGTCATGCTTGGAGAAAACTCTCCTGAGTTTCTCTGATACACCGGCTACATAGGGGATGACAATGTTGTTGCGTCTGTCCTTCTTATCCTCCCTCGCTGGTGTCTGGTCTTCTTTTCTGTGCCTCTTTGCTGACTTTAAAAACGCCCATTTAGGATAGCCGCACGTTTTGAGTGCTTCCTTTACATGTGTATGTTCCTTCTTTTTTCCTTCAGGTTGAGAGGGAACATGTTCTGCCCGGTGGTGTAGGGTCCTAATTACTCCAAGTTTGTGTTCCAGAGGGTGATGGGAGTCAAAAAGGAGGTACTGGTCCGTGTGTGTGGGCTTCCGGTAAATTTCGATGTTGAGTTTGCCGTTCTCTTCAATGTGCACAGCGCAGTCCAGGAAAGGCAGACAGTTGTCCTTTGTGTCTTCCCTGGTGAACTTGATGTTTTTATCCACAGCGTTAATGTGCGCAGTGAAGGATTCCACTTCTTGTGTCTTGATTTTGACCCAGGTGTCATCCACATATCTGTACCAGTGGCTGGGTACTCTTCCTTTGAAAGAGCCAAGGGCCTTTCTTTCCACTTCCTCCATGTAAAGGTTGGCTACAATAGGTGACACGGGGGAGCCCATGGCACAGCCATGTTTTTGTCTGTAAAAGCCTTCGTTGTACTTGAAATATGTAGTGGTGAGGCAGAGGTCTAACAGTGTGCAGATCTGATCGGGTGTGAAGTTGGTCCTTTCCTCCAAGGAGCTGTCTTCTTGTAATCGTTTTCTGACCGTCTCCACGGCCTCCGTGGTGGGTATGCAAGTGAAGAGAGAGACTACATCAAAGGACACCATGGTTTCATCTGGATCCAGGGTAAGTTTCTGGACCTTGTCGGTGAAGTCGGTGGAGTTCTTGATGTGGTGTGGGGTGTTCCCCACGAGAGGCGCAAGGATGGTAGCAAGGTGTTTTGCAATGTTATACGTGGCCGAGTTTATGCTACTGACTATGGGTCTGAGTGGGACAGCTTCCTTGTGGATCTTCGGAAGTCCATAGATGCAGGGTATGGCATCTCCTGGGTAAAGGCGGTGATATGTAAGCCGGTCAATAATTTTGTCCTTTTCAAAGTCTTGAAGGCAAGCTATAACTTTCTTTTTGTAGCTGCTTGTGGGGTCTCGCTTTAGGGCTTCGTAGGTATTGTCGTCACTGAGGAGAGTAGTGATCTTTGCATGGTAATCTGTAGTGTTTAGGACCACGGTGCATCTTCCCTTATCAGCTGGTAAAACAGTGATGTTGTGGTCTTTGCTCAGGGAAGCGACGGCCTTCTTTTCCTGTATTGTGAGGTTGGATGGAGGGACTTTGGCACTGGAGAGCGTGGCTGAGACTTTCATCCTGATTTGCTCTGCTTCTGTCTGTGATAATTTATTAATCCGTGGGGGGAAACTCCCACTAGGTTTATATCTGGGACTCTCCACCATTTGACCTTAGAACTGAAGAAGCTTCTCGGATGAGAGGTGAAACGTCTTCAAGCAACTTAAAGAAGTCCAGACGCTTTTCTTTGCAAGCTCCTTTGACATTTTTCCATTGTTATACCTCTCTGACCTGTCTTCCCCATGTGATGTTTTGTGTAATGTATGGTTGTGTCCAAATTCATGGGCTGCATCCTCCTGAGGACCCGGCCTTCGCGGTCTACGTGGGCCGGGTCCTCAGAAGGTCGGGTAGGCCGGAAGTAAACTGCTGGGGAAATTGGACGGTCTAGCCTTCAGATTTGCGTCACCGCTGTCTCGGTGGAGTTTAATAAACTCAGCGTCTGCTCCTTGCTATCTAAAATATAACAGGACACTGGCGTAAATTCTCGACTGTCTCATACTTCTGTTTAATCAGTTTTCTGTTTGACGTTTAGTCAGCTGTGTGAAAACCAAGGAGGAACCCACCCGGGGATTAATAAAGTTTTATTTTATCTAATCTAATCTAATAACTTTAATCTCAGCCAAACCGATTTACTCACGAACAAACAAAACACTGAAAAAAGCCCAACAATAACATTTTTAGGTTGTCTAAGTGACTTATATATTACGTTTAACCCGAGCAGCGAAAGTCCGCGGTGATCTGAAAATGATGTGCCGGGAGTTGTGCCGTTCTCGGCCGCATCAGTAACCCTCGAGCTCCCGGCTAGCTATCGAGCTGGTGGGTAGCAGACGTCTCCGAAAACGTCGAAGCACTTTTGCAAATATGCGATATCTTGATAAACCGAGCAGATATTTGATGTTTACACAGCTACTTTCTCGCCTGAAAATATGTTAAAAGTTTATTTTGTGACCCAGAAAGATTAGTAAGAGTAATTTTAAAACTTAGTAGCGGCCGCCATTGCTGGAAACTGGAGTTTGGCTGGGATATGGTGGGCCACGAAGGACACACCCAACCCATCCTTCAAATTCGGGGAAAAGGAGGACGCATTTGTCGGCCGCATTCGGAGGAGTCTATGGTCGTGTCCAAATTCATGGGCTGCATCCTCCTGAGGACCCGGCCTTTGTGGTCTACGTGGGCCGGGTCCTCAGAAGGTTGGGTAGGCCGGAAGTAAACGGCCGTGAAATTGGACGGTCTAGCCTTCAGATTAGCGTCACCGCTGTCTCGGTGGAGTTTAATATACTCAGCCGTCTGCTCCTTGCTATCTAAAATATAACAGGACACTGGTGTAAATTCTCGACCGTCTCATACTTCTGTTTAATCAGTTTTCTGTTTGACGTTTAGTCAGCTGTGTAAAAACCAAGGAGGAACCCACCCGGGTGATTAATAAAGTTTTATTTTATCTAATCTAATCTAATAACTTTAATCTCAGCCAAACCGATTTACTCACGAACAAACAAAACACTGAAAAAAGCCCACTTTATGTGTGTGTGTTTATAAGTAGTTTTAAACGTTGTGATCCACAAAACAGCATAACAGTAAAAGAAGAACTGACTGCGTTACAGTCAGTGCGGGAGCAGCGGTTTCGCTCATGCGTGGTTCATTTGCAGTTTGGACGCATAGATGTGAACATCTCCTGCAGCTGGGGGAGGACTATCCTCTGCCCATGAGCGCTTTAGCACGGGTGAGGTGCCCACGGCAGCACCGCTGCTTGTCGAGAGTAAGAGCAACACGCTCTTTCACGTCAAAAAGTCATCATAAATAAGTCTCCAATAACACCAG